GACAGAGACAGAGAGACAGAGACAGAGAGACAGAGACAGAGACAGAGAAGGAGAGATTCAAAGACAGATGGGAAGACATAGGTTGAGAGACACAGACAGGAGAGAGAGAGAAAGACACACACAGAGATGGGGGGAGAGAGAAAGACATACACAAAGAGAGACAGACGGGGGGAGAAGACACACACACAGACAGAGATAAAGGGAGAAAAATACAGAGACAGAGAGATGGGGAGACATAGGCAGAGAGAGACAGGCAGAAGAGAGAGAGAGAAAGACAGAGACAGGCAGACAGAGAAAGAGGCAGACGCACACACAGAGAGGGAGACAGTTGCTAAGCCTTATTGAGGTAACGAATTAGCTCAGTCCCTGTGCTCATCCCTCTCAGAGCCTGTGCTGTAGTTATTCCTGAGGCCACAGGTGTCTGAACTGCTTGGGGAATGTCTCAGCTGACTCATTAAATAGCATAATAGTTAATATAATAATGGTTTTTTATTGAGAAGTTGTTACATCCTGGACACTCCCCACCTTACCCGTAGTCCACAGGAACAATCTGCCTCGCCTAGGTCACACCAGAGATGGTAGGAGATAAGAATTGACATTTTAGTCTGAGTCTCTCTAAGTCTAGGGCCCATGCCCTCCAGGTTTGCTTCTTAGCTTGTGGCTGTTGGACCAACGTTGAGGATGACATTACCTCAGTGCACAAGAGACATGAAGCAACAGACCCCTCCCAGGTGACAGTGTGAAAGACTGCGATGTGTCATGCTGCCTTCTTACGTAGCTGTGTGGCCTAGGTAGGTCACATCTGCAACCCCATGTGGCCATACAATGGCATGAGATATCTCAACCAATGTCTCCCTTTCTCCCCCTCGTTCTCTCTCTCATCTATATTATAATAAGACAGAATTGAAAGCACTGGCTTGTTGGGATGGACTCAAAATGGTAGTGGAATTAAATCCAGACAATAAAAAGCCAAAAACCCCAGCAAAAATACAGAATAATCAAGCCAACATCACAACAACTTCTTATTTTTATTTTTGTGAAGATTTGTTTTATTTTTATGTGTATGTGTGTACATCTGTGTGCCCAAAGAGGCCAGAAGAGGGTGCCGGATCCCTGGGGCTGAAGTTACAGGTGGTTTTGAGCCACCTCATGTGGGTGTTGGGAACCGAACCTGGATCCTCTGTAAGAGCAGCAAGTGTTCCTAACTGCTGAGCCATCTCTTTAGCTTCAGTGTTTTCCTAAAAAGAAAAAGAAGGAGAAAGTGTTTGCCAATGATTTACCCAGCTTGACACTATCCCTAAACTTCTACAGCAGGGCATTACACACATGTGTATGTAGTGGAGTTTCAAATTGTCCCCAACCCTTCTCTAATTGTCCTCGGGAGGGCGTATGTGACAGTGCAGGATTCTTGTCCTTTCACCCACTCCTTGGTGATGACCTGGGCAGAGTCCCAACATTTGTCCTCCCGGCATCCCCTTAAGGGGCACAGGTGACCCCATTCTAGACAAGTGTAAACCTCCAGGAGGGAAGATAACTCACTCAAGATGGTGGCCGGGGGTGGGGAGCAGGGAGTAGGGGTGGGGAAGAGGTGTGCAGCCCTTCGACCTGAGGACCTACAGTGGGATTTGTTTTCTTCAAGAAGGGGGTAGCCTTCTGACTTCCATTTTATACTCAGTGTTATACAGTTTCTCCAAAATTTCCAAACATGGTTCAAAATTAAAACTACCATGGGCCATCTTGTGTATTCTGCCCTATTATCAGATTTTTTTTTTCCCACATGAAATCCTGGTCACAGACCTAGGACAGTACCCACAGTACGCAATGTTGCCAGCATGTCCACTGTCACTGAGGCTGGTCAGTGGAGAAAGTCAGCAGCAGGAGGGCTGGTGGGCTGTGGGACTGGCCTGTTCAGACCTCAGTGTGTCTGTCCGCAAAATGGGAGCTGTAATGTCCCAGGCTCATGAGCATCTCATCCCATTTTGCAGGGTGGCTGGCTCATCCAAGGAACACAAACATCTATTCAAAGGGCAGGGAGAGCCATGGCCGATCTGCTAAGTCTCTTGGGACCAGCTGTTTCGTATCTATGTGTGTTGCTGCCCTAACTAAAGCGTTCTGTGATTATTTAGGATGTGAAAATGAATGCTCCCCTCTGTGTTTTCATGCAGGAACCCCGAGAGGGACTGTTACACAGATGTGGCCCTTCCTCTCTATGAAAACCTCAACATCGTGGAGCAGCCTGTGAACCTGAGTGGCCTTGCACGGAAGTATTTAGAAAAGGCAGTGGCGTTCATTGAGCAGGCAAGGTAAGGACAAGCTCCCTGCTCTTGTCCCCTCTTCCACACACACCAAGTCCTCCTGCCCCTGGCCTGTTAGGGCTGAGGCTGAGTTTCATGCTTCAGCAAGCATACCTGCCTGCCTCCCATATGCTAGTAACATGAATGCTCCTGATGAACTCTCTGGTCCTGGGTTAGAAGTTCCTCGGGTAAGTTTTTGGCTTTCCTGTGACCCTCTGTCTGTCCTGCCTTGATTAGCACCATGGCTTTGGCCATTTTTCCTTCTACTAGAGTGCAAGTTCCTTGAGGGTAGGGCCTGCCCCCTGCATTCAGGACACTTACTTAGGGTATTTGTTGAATTCATTTGTTAGCAGGCAGTATGAGTTCTTTACTGCTTCTATAACAAATGATCACCAAAGTGGTGGCTAAAACCAATAGTAACCATAGTAAGTTCTCCTCAGATCTGGATGCTAGATGTCTGAAGCCAGTTTTAGAGGACTATCACCAAAGTGTAAACAGGGCTCATTCTTTTTAGAGTCTCCAAAAATAATTGTTTCTTTCTTTTGTTTGTTTGTTATAATTGTTTCTTTGTTTCTTTGTTTGTTTGTCTTTTGAGACAGGGTTGTGTAGCCCAACTCCTTCTATAAACCAGCCTGTCCTTGGACTCAAGAGATCTGCCTGCTTCTGCCTCCTGAGTGCTGGGACTAAAGGCATGAGTCACCACTGCCTGGCTTTCTTTGGTTTATGGCCACATCATTCTAATCTCTACTTCTGTTGATCCCTTGTCATTTCTACATGTAGTCAAGCGTTCCTACCCTTCCTCTTTTAGACAGAGTCCCCGGTAGCCCAGGCTGACCTCTAACTTGCTATGCAACTGAGCATGTCCTTGATTTTCTGATCTCCCGGATGCTGGAATGTGTCACCATACCCAGTCTTCTTTTAAGGACACTAGTGATTAATAGTCAACCAAGAACCAGATATGGTGACATAGTTCAGCACTCGGGAACTCAAGAGACAGAATTCATGGCTAACAACAGCAACAACAACAACAACAACAAAAAAGACCAAAAACAAAACAAAAAGTCAGCTATCAAGATGATCTCATCTCAAGGTCTTAACTTACTTATACCTGTAAAGTTCCCTTTGCCACGGAAGGGAAGTTCTCCAATTCCAGGACTTCAGGTATGTTTGGGTGTTGTTATCCAGTCTCGCACACAGCGTTCTGAATACGCACATCTACAGGGCCCACAAAGCAGGTCTGAAGAGTTAGCTCAGTGGTTAAGAGTATTAGCTGTCCACTTAAGAGTAAACCCAACTAAACATTAGGGTCTTAAGACTAAAGAGACATGATGACTAAAGGCAATGCAGAAAATAACAGTGTGGAGGCTGGTGGGATCCAAATAAAGTCTGCAGGTAAATGATCAAAAAAAAAGAAAAAAGAAAAAAGAAAAAAGAAAAAAAAAAGAAAAAAAAAGAGTGTTGGCTGTCCTTTCAGAGTTTCCAGGTTCAATTCCAGCACCCACATGGCATCTCACAACCCCTACAACTCCAGTTCCAGATCTTATTCTTCTGGTCTCCAAGGGCACAACATGTAAGTGGTGCAGAGACATACATGCAGGCAAAATACCCATACACATCATACAGAATCTAAAGAAAAATCTTTCAAAAAGAAGAAAGCAGGCTGAGTATGGGGCAAACATACCCCATCTATTGTAAACAGTAGCTACTTAGCTCCAGCCATTGATGGTGGGTGAACCTGGTATGTGAGCCTGGGTGTCAGGTCTTTCCAGTTTCTGGAAGAGACAGGAAACAGTCTTTAAAATGTTAGAAACTACTAATTAAAAACATCCAAAAGAGGGCTAGGGATGGCTCAGTGGATAACGACACTTGCTGCTAAGCCTGACAGTATGAGTTGAATCCCTGGGACCGGGTGGGTGGAAGGAGAAAACCCATTCCCAAAAGTTGTCCTCTGACTCCACACACTGTGGCACTTCTGAACAAACTAAATTGATGTTTAGAGAAGGAAAGCACGGCAGTGACAACAAAATCCACACCACTGAGTGAGGGCTGCCATTGTGCATCCTTGTCCTGTCACCACAAAGAATGACTGGAAGTGTGATTGATTTCATCTTTCTCCCACGGTCCTAAATGACTGAGGCACACTGGGATACTTCTCTTAGGCCCACAGCTGTAACTGAAGTGAGCAAGAAGACAAAACTGTGCTGTGTGGCTGCCTGCTTATGCAGAATTCAGATGGCGTCATCTGTGGATGGCTGAGCAAACCAACTCCTGACTGTGCAGGGTCCTACAGCCCTTGCTCAGCCATGTTGGACTTTTCTAGAGACATCATCAAGGAGGGCAGGAGTGGCAGTGAGAATCAGTCATCTGTGTGTGCTCTTCATAATGCAAGCCATTACTTCAGGCTCAGATTTCAGAGTCATATCCCAGGACCTTAGAGGTTCCGTCTGAATGGTTCCCCAGAAGTTTCTGAGAAACACTGTGTTTCTCAGACTGCTGGGATAGATGGAGTTTTTTCCGCTCTGGGAGGTTGAGCATCTCCCAGCTTCCTACAGCTGTGAAATGGCTCTAGTTCCCTCTGCCCTATATGACAGGCAGATGCTTCATAGTCGTCAAGGGCAGCTTCCTGTTGTTTTACAGTCTCAGCCTTCTGATAGGAGGGATGGCAGCTGTCTGGGGCTGGGGACTGTGTAATGCTTGCTCTGCAGGGGTGGCGGAGCCTGGCATCCATCAGTTAAGGGACTCATTAAGAGACAAATCAACTGATGTTCTCACCATGTCAAAAAAGGAAATAATAAGAGTTGGCCTTTTTTTTTTTTTAACTTTACAGAAAGTAATCATAGGGCATGCAGGTTTCTGTAAGATTTGACCTACTGGCTCAACCATAACTTTCTCACCGTAGCAGAAAAGTCCCCTGGATCTGCTCACATCTGTGCTGACTAGTTTTATATCAACTTGACAAAAGCTAAAGTCATTTGAGAGGAGAGAATGTCAATTAAGAAAATTGCTCCATAAGATCAGGCTAAGACAAGCCTTGAGGGCATTTTCTTAATTAGTGATTGATGGAGGAGGGCTCAGCCCATTGTGGGTGCTGCCATCCCTTGGCTGCTGGTCCTGTGTTCTATAAGAAAGCAGGCTGAGCAAGCCATGAGAAGCAAGCCAGTAGGCAGTACCCCTCCATGGCCTCTGCATCAGCTCCTGCCTCCAGGTTCCTGTCCTGCTTGAGTTCTTGGCCTGACTTCCTCCAGTGATGAACTGTGATGTGGATGTATATGCCAAATAAACCCTTTCCTTCCTAACTTGTTTTTGGTCAGGGTGTTTCTTCACAGCAATAGTAACCCTAACAGATTAATACCTTCCTGGAAATAGGGCACAGAGGGCTTGGAAAGTAAGGGTGAGTTAGTTGGGCATAAGAATAGATGCTGACTTGGTATGTTTGAAGCCAGAGTCTTCTGAGAAATCTGGTATGTGGTCAATACTCAAGATGTTGTGAACTGTATATCTATGTCCCCTACAGTTCAAGTGTTAAAACCCTAACCCTCAGTCACACAAGACCTGTCCAACTTTTTGACACAGTTGTCATTTACAAAATGTACATTTGCAAACTGCACAAGCAAGTTACCAAAGACAGTCACATATGCACACAAAAATCTTATATTTTAAGTGAATTTATGTTTGGCAGCATTCATAGATACCCTGTGTATATGTGGCTTAAGGGGGTAGGGGTAGGACACACCTTCACCCGATAGGATATTATTAGGAGGTGGGGACCTTTGCAGGGTTTTTCGGTCTGGACAGGTTTGGGAGGATGGAGCCCCTGTGATTGGATTAGTGCCCTTATCAGGAACCGATGAGTTTCTCACTCTCCTGAGGGTGAAAGGGAGAAAGAGTCTAAGAATGGAGACACTGGACTTCCCATGTGCTAGAACTGTGAGAGTAAATACTTGCTTTAATGTACCCAGTGTGGTGTTTCTGTTCAAGCAGTCTGAGTTAAGACATGTGTCGTTCAGGACAGGGTCCTAATGACACAGAGACGAAAACCTAAACCTTTAAGAGCTGGAGCCCAGGCTTCGCAGAGTCCTTTCCTTTACTTGATTTGCCATTGCAGAACGTGGTGCTCTAAACACAATAGCCACTGTCTCCATCAGATCAGCCGTGTCTACTTGCAGGAGGCCACCAGGAATGGCCTCATTGTTGGCATTCTCTCATAGAAGGAGGAGTGAGGAGGTCACCTGAGATCCTAGCAGCCTATCCAGCTATTTGTACATGGGAACTGCCCCAATTACACATGTCCTCGATGTCTTGGAAGGCGCTAGGATGGAGGCTTGGGGAGGTAAACTGAGACGGGTACCATCTACAATGATTTGGGGAAACCATCTCCATGCTAGGTGAAGACTTTGCAGTTCAGCTACTCTGGTGATGGGGAATGTACTTCTGTGTATGTTTATCTTATTGATTGTTGAATAAAGTACTGTTTGGCCAATGAGGCAGCAAGTTAGGCAGGACTAGGAGTCGAGGAGGATTCTGGGAAATGTAGTAAGAAGTGGTAATCCAGGCAGGAAGTGACATAGCAGGGAGACTCATATATAAGGAAGGACAACCAGGAAGTGCCCCCTTTTTCCCCTCTGCTCTTAAACCAGGCACCATGTGATCCACGGGCAAGGGGGGACACCAATGGAAGGCGTCCGGTAAGATAAGTCTTATAAAATATATAGATTTATGATAATTAAGACTGAGCTAACAGATGAGAAATCTGGTGTTGGCCAGGCAGCATTTGTACCTAATATGTCTCTGTATTATTTTGTCCATCCACGTGGTGGGCAGAACTCAGGCGGCTGGTGGAGACTGCCCACGTGGCAGTAGAGTTTGGGCGCTTTTGGTGGAAAGATTTATTGTAACACTACCACGCCTCTGGGCAACTCCAAATTCATGTTCTTTAGGCCCAATAAGCTTGTTGATTCCCCAGGATGAACTTGGGTGAAATCATATTTTAGTTTGTTGTTGGGACCTTATACGGAGGGAGCAGACATTGTTTGTATCTCCCCAGGGAAGGGACTTTTGAAAAGCTTCCTTGCCTTCATTACCCTCTCCTGTTCCTACTCTCCTGTTCCCTGTTCCTTCCTACCATGGTGATATGCTCCCTCCCCGTTGTTGTTCCCACCCCAGATGCCACCCAGCACCAACAGACAGGGTTCTAGATTCAGGCTATCTCCCTCCCTCTTCTTTTTCCTGTTTGAATGCTGGGGTGAAGAATGGATCTTTGAGTAAATGAAATAACAACCTGTTAGCAGTCATAGCTAACTTCCCTAGTGATGCCCCTGCCTCGAATGGTCACCATGCACAGTATACCAGTAGCTGGTTGTTCCTTGGGTATCATGCAATCCTCTTCACATCTATCTATCTATCTATCTATCTATCTATCTATCTATCCATCCATCCATCCATCCATCCATCCATCCATCCATCCATCCATCCATCCATCCATCCATCCATCCATCCATCTATCCATCCATGTATTTATTATCTATTTTGTGAGGCAGGGTCTTATATCATATGCTAGTCTTGAGCTTGGTATGTAGTCAAGCATGATACTGTGTTCCTGACTTCACCCACTGAATGCTGGATTACAGTTGTGCACCACTGTTGTTTGGTCTCTGAAACAGATCACTGAGGAATAGGAAATCTGTTAGAAGAGCTATTGATACCATGGACTGAGAGAGAGTTACAGGCAGTTGTGAGATGCCCAGTGTGGGTGCTAGGGACTGAACCTGGGTCCTCTGCAGGAGAGATAACCATTCGTACCTACTGAGCCATCTCTCCAGCCCCACCCCAAGAAATTTTTACAGCACCCCAGGTACATAGGCATATAAAATAGGTACATAAATCAGGCATTTATTTACTGATGATAAATCACAGAAATATTATTTTTAAACAATTCTGTAGCATACATGTAATTTTACCCTTAATGAATGATGAAATTGTGTTCGTTTATTTTTGCATGAAGATTTAAATCCTCTAGGGCAGAAAGCCTCTTCAGAGTTCACCGATGTTACACTTTTATCATCATGTTGAAAATACCGCCTCAAACGTAGTACAAAGTGGCAGAAGTGTGCTTAACACCATTTTAGAAATGACTGGGGAGTCTGTCCTGATGGCAAGCCAAAATTCACTGAGTGATTTTAAAAAAGAAACTCAAGTTAGCAACTCCAACAGCTTTTTGAAACATTTATTTCTATTGGGTGTATGAGTATTGGCCTGCATGGATGCACAGGCACCATGCATGTACAGTTTCTGAGGAGGCAGGGCGTCAGGGTTGGACAGGGTGGGATAGTTGTGCTGGAGGTTAAACATCAGGCCTTGTATAGTAAGCAGGCATACTACTTAAGTGCAACCTCAGGCCATTTTTTTTTTCCTTTTCATTTTGAGACAAGGATTCACTTAAGTTTCCTAGGATGCTCTTGAACTCACAGTATAGCTCAGTCAGGCCTTGAACTTGTGATCTTCCTAACTCAATTTCCTAAAGAGCTAGGACTGCCCCTTGAGACCATGGAGTCTTTGCTAGATGTCCCAGTTTCTTCAAGCCTGTCACCACAAATTTTCCAGGTTTAGTATTGAACAGAGCCTTAATCTGAATGTCCCCTGTGGTCTCACGTATCTTAGGGATTCCTTATAGCTATATTTCCTGGAACAGTGGTTCTCAAAAATTGCAACCCGGGGCTGGAGAGATGGCTCAGAGGTTAAGAGCACTGACTGCTCTTCCAGAGATCCTCAGTTCAATTCCCAGCAACCACATGGTGGCTCACAACCATCCTTTATGAGATCTGGTTCCCTCTTCTGGTGTGCAGATATATACAGAAGCAGAATGTTATATACATAATAAATAAATAAAATCTTAAAAAAAATTGCAACCCCTTTAGGGGTCAAACAACCCTTTTACAGGGGGTACATATCAAATATTTACATTACAATCAAATATCCTGCATATTGGATATTTACATTACAATTCATAACAATAGTACAATTACAGTTATGAAGTAGCAATGAAATAAATGTATGGTTGGGGTTCACTACAACATGAGGAACTGTATTAAAGGGTCACGGCATTAGGAAGGTTGGGAACCCCTAGAATTAACACAGTAGCCTGGATGTTTGGACTCTGAAGTACAGCAAAGAGCAAAGGTTTGCTCTGGACAGATGAGTTGAAATCCAGACTTTCTATTACTAGTTGTGTAACTTGAAGGAAGGTCCTTAGATCCCTCTAAGTTTCTAAATTATTTCCTTAAAGGGAAAATGGAAGGATGGACTTAAGCAACAGTCCTGTATAATAGCTCTTACTATCACAGAATACGAGCCATCGTTATGGTGCAGTACTTTTCTAATGGGCTAGCCAGATGACTTCCCCATTTCTTTAGAAGATTGTAGACAAATACATTATCTTTGAGCCTTCAGGGCAAGCCCTGTGGCAGGGTGGTAGTGGATTTTCTCTGAGTTCAGGAAGGACTGTTGAGACCCTAGACAAGACTAACCCCCCACCCCGAAGAGGCTCTGAGTTCTCCCATTTCTTCCAGTACCAGCGGAAGACCCTTCCTGCTCTATATGGGCCTGGCCCACATGCATGTGCCCTTGTCTGTGACACCGCCATTGGAAAACCCAGGGAGCCAAAGGCCCTACCGTGCAAGTCTCCAAGAGATGGACAGTCTGGTTGGGCAGATCAAGGACAAAGTTGACCACATGGCAAAAGAAAACACACTCCTCTGGATTACAGGTAAAGTAGAGATGTCCACCTGAACTGGCTGGGATCTAGTAGATAACTGTGCAGGATCCATGGAGAGCAGAGTCCAGTCATGTGACATCTGTAACCAGGAAGGGGCTCACTGTGAACTTGGGGACTTGATGATTGCCTGAATGCTTAGCCTGTTGTCTATTGAGTTCTCCATGACTGAGTCATGGAGAAAGATTTGTACTGGCAGAACATGACTTTGCTGGCCCTATAGATGTTGACTAGGGCCTGTTGACTTACTCCTACCTGTTAAAGAGTCCTTTACCATCTCCTCCCTGGTCCCAGTGATTGTGGTTGCTACTGGTCATATCTTTAGTTAGGTGGCTCTGGAACTGAATTAATGATCCCTTTAAAGGGCTCACATATAGCCAGGCATGGTAATGTACAGCACTTCATAGAACTTTGGGCCAGAGAGATGGCTCAGTGGTTAAGAGAACTGGTTGTTTTTCCAGAGGACCTGGGTTCAGTTCCCAGCACCCACATGGTGACTCATAACTGTCTATTACTCCAGTTCCAGGGGATCCAACACCCTCACACAGAACTTATACAGGCAAAAAACCACTGTGCATTAAATAAATAAATATTTAAAACAACAATAACAAAAGAGTTTTAGCATTTCAAAGTCTTAAGGCAAGAAGATCTCCAGTTCAAAGCCAGGGTAGGCTGTAGAGTGAATTTGAGGATAGCCTGGGGTATATACAAGACTCTGTGTCAGAAAAATCCAAAGTTGTATGTGTATGAGGGGTTATAACACAGATATTTTATGTCTCAGGTCTCTCTGTAGAAGAGTAGCAGCTGTTTTGGATGAAGTTGAGATCTGGTTTTAACATATGCTAATGGGAGAGCTAAATCTATTCCACTATATATTATAAGGTTAAAAGATGGTGTATGTGGAGTTCTAGATGCATCAAGGATGCTTAGTGAACAGTGGCTGGGCTCTAATGACAGCAGTAATAGATTGCTGACACCACCTAAGTGGGTTGTGAGAGCAGAGGTTAAGGATGGAGCTCACTGGGTTAGAGCAGACCCCCATCTCTCATAGAGCCTAGAGAGATAGGATCACCGAGACAGAGTTTTAGCTGAGTGGTGATGGGGAGGTCTATGGCTATGCCGGCTAGCCATGTACTGACATCCATGCCTACGAGGAATACTTCAAATGTAGAGATCATGTTTGTCTTTCTGTCTGACCCCTGCTGTGCACAGGGTTATGACTAGAGGGGCTCAGAAAAAGTGTCTCCCAGAGGCCCACTGACCATCTCCTGGTTCTTTTCCTGGTTTCTAGGAGACAACGGCCCATGGGCTCAGAAGTGTGAGCTGGCAGGCAGCGTGGGTCCCTTCTTTGGATTGTGGCAAACCCATCAAGGTATTTGAAAGCTCATCCAGTGGGAATGGATCCCACTTGGGAAGCCAAGTGCTGGCTGGGTATGGGGTTTTTTCTTGTGGCCAGCTGTCTTGTGTCCTGGCCTTCAGGACACTGTTATGAAGCAGGGACATAGAGGCTCACGAGAGCCACTCTCAGAGAAGAAACAAATTGGGATGGAGAGAAATTGTGTGTTCATTATGGACCATCTCTTTCTCTCCTTTCTCTTCTTCCCTGTAAGGACCACCTTCATCCTGACAGACCTGTTCATAAACTGTCTCGCCAATATGCTTTCCTTCATTCATGCGGCTTTCCTTCATTCATGCAGCTGTCTGTGTTTTCTTCCTCTGTCCATTTTCTTCTCTTTCCCACCCCTTCCATTCAACCATTAATTAGTTCACATCATCCATTCAAGAAATATTTAGTGCACAACTCCATAATGTTGGGATTTCTTGTTGCTGTTGTTTTGTTTGACAGGGTCCCATCATGTAGCCTTGGCTGGCCTAGAACTCACTAGGTAGACTAGGCTGGCCTCGAATTCAGAGATCCTCCTGCCTCTGCTTCTGGAGTGCTGGAGTTAAAGGTGTGTGTGCCACCATGTCTGGCCCTCTGCAAGGCTATTATATATGTCATTTCTAAGCCTTGTAACTGTGAAAGGTAACTAGCAATGGCTTCATTTATAGTAAAGATAGAGCCCAAGGTCACACAGTTGGTGAGAAGATGCCAGGCTTGCCACTGTAGTCAAAGGTGGTGCTGTCCTCACATACCCAATGGCCTCCTACAGCAATTTCTGGCTCTGTGTAAATGTACTTGAGCCTAGAGCTCAGTTCCCATCTGTTCTGGAAAAGTTCTCAATGCAGAAGGACCTGACCTTCTGAGGAGCAGCCAACCTGGGGACAGTTGTGTGGGGCAAAGGCTTGAAAAGTTCCATGTGCCTTTTGATGCAGGCTCCTCCTGAAAGCATTTGTTGCAGAGAGCTAATTAGCCAAGGGCACAGTGCGTATACATGACACTCATTGCAGTAGGTTAAAGACCTAGCTGGATACAGTTCAGATACTCAAGGGGAAGGTTTGAAGGAGTTAACCATTTAGAAGGACACCAAAGAGTCAGTAAACCCATGGGTGTTTGTTGACTTGAAATATTTACATGAGATATTTTTTAGTGAATGAAACAAGCTATACAATAATATGCAAAGTCTACACATGTACTTTATGTAACTATGTGTTTTCAAAGTATAGCTTTCTTATATAAAAGTAAGCTTATGCCTTAGAAAAATCTTGAATGAGGTAGCAAAACTACAGAAGATTAACATTGATTACTCTGGTTTTATAAGGGAGCTCAAGGCCAGCCTGGTCTACAGAGCTAGTTCCAGGACAGCTAGGGCTGTTACACAGAGAAATCCTGTCTCAAAAAAAAAAGAGA